AGCGCCCCAGGGGAGCCCCGGCCGCGGGGGGGCTAGAGCCGCCAGCCTCCCTGCCTCTCCGCTCTTCCCTTCGCTAGTCCGAAGGCGGCCCGGCGGAGGAACAAACGGCGATTTGCATGCGTTTATTTCTTTGGGGAAAAACCGCATAATTTCAAGGTCAAAAATATTAAATTATCCTGCCTTTATGGAAGTTTGGGTGCGTGGCCGTTTTTGTCTTTAGTTCAGATTTTTCCCAACCTTGGCCTGCAGTTTAAAACTCACAGAATGCAGGAATTATGTTGATTCATAAAAAATAAAGATGCATGGCAAACGGGGAAAAACCCAGAATCTACTTCACTGTGACAGCCTCCCCCACATTACTGTATTTAAAAAACAAAAATCAAAGAGAATCAATTTCGGGTCTTGAACTTTCAAATAAAAATAGAGCAGGAGACTGAACACCGCTGAAGCAGTATATGAATTACTAAGGCAAGCTCCTAACTTTCTACATCCTCAGCGTTTAGTATGGCTTAGAATAAAAAGAGGCTTATAAAGAAACAAACGAAAACTGACCTGTTAAGATTTAAATATATTTTGACACTGGAGAATCTGGGAGGACCTCATGGACCAACAAAATGCATTAATTTTTTTTTAACGTTGGGAAGTTTCTATTTCCCTGAAATTTTCCATGAATTTTTAAAAACAGATTATGTAAAACGACTCACCTCACCTCGTGTCTTGTTCGTCATTTAGCAAACAAAACTGACTAGTTCTAGCTTTAATTCAGTTAGAAACCAGATCGGATTTACAGACCAATTTTCAGGGCAGAACCACTGGTTAAAACTAAAATAAAGTGATTCATTGTTTGAGTCCATTCTACAATGGTTCCCCCCCAAAGGAGGAATTTTGCTTCCCATGAAGTATTTCCTGCATTCAGTACAAAGAAAGGTCTGGAACAGAAATACGGTTGGAAACCAAAGGAAGTGAACTCCGGGGTGCAGTGCTCTGGTTGGGAAGAAGCAGGTGCAATACTCTGAATTATTAATTCCTTAATCTTTTGCATCTGTTGCCTTTTAATACTCTGTAATGTGAGTTATCAAAGGTGCTTTGAATTATTCAGAATTGAGGTCCTGAAGAAATTGCTTGCCAGCTTGTAACTTTAGAGGCAACATCTGCAAAAGGTAAATCAGACAAATGAAGGAAATAAGCAGATACCTCGGGAGGGGAGGGGGGAGAAGGGGGCAAGGAGGACGATCTGAAATTCCCACCCGGCTTCCAGTTCCCTGACAGTGAGCACAAAACCGTGGCAGTTGATGGGAGGAAGTGTATTCTTGTTCAAGTAACACGCCAGTAAATAGCCATGTAACCGGACGCGGCGGACGACGGTTCAGGCTCCTTGAAGGGCTGCTGCGAAGAAAAGCGGTGAAAAAACTCAATTTGCCAAAGGACTGGGATCGATAGAGGGCAAGAAGAGTTTCCACTAAGTTCAGAGACCATAGGTCAGTGTCACAAAGGTGGGGGGGCGGGGGGGAGAGGCTGGTAAAAATGCAAACAGGTCATTTTTTCAGCCAGCCTCCGAATCCGGTTCAGCTCCTTTCCCCACGGAAAAGAAACCCAGGTGGTTTGTCTACAGGGAGTCTAGGGTGCCGGCGAGGTTTCGCCTGGATCCACCTGCTTGGCCCCCTCGCCTCGCCACTAAGATCTCTTGAGACCGATGCCGCCCTGAGACCCGGTTCCCTTCCAGAGTAGCAGCGCGGCAGATTTCCTTCGGAGGAGACCAGCCGAAATGGAGGTCGTCTAGTTAATAATCAAAAGCGAAGAAACAGGGAAGAGAAGAGACTCCGCTTCCCAGTGCTGGGCAAGAGTAAAGTCGGACTAAAATTGCCTTCCTGAAATCCTTGCTTTTCCACCTCAATCCTAGCAGATTTTAGTTAAATAATCAAAGATATTGAGTGTTGTCTGAAGAGAAGACAATAAAGGAGATGTTTTAGATTGTTTGAAAAAGACTTAAAATCAAATGAAATCAAGCCATCGCCGGCGTTGGTTTAATATCTGGAGAAATTTTCCGGAAAACAGGAGGTAATGATAAGAGAAATATTAACAGCAACAACAGTAGTAGTAGCGGATATGAAAACCATTTGGTAAAGAAAAGAGAAACATTTAATTAACGGGGAAATGAGACTTTGGATTCCGTTTTTCGAAGGGTCGATTTTCTCTCGAGGGGCGCGGCCGGTTCAGCGCTCCCACTCGGCAGCCTCGGACTTGCCCGGCTGCTGGGGATTTGGGGCAAAACAGGAAGGCCGAGGAGAAGGAGAAGCGCCCCCGGGCTGGAAAGAGGGTCTTCGTCAAGCGACCCTCTTTCTGCTTCGCGGCAAAGGGATCCCCCCCCCCCGTGGGCCCAGAAGTGCTGGCAGAGTGACCCCCCCCCCATCCGGACTCCCGCCCCGCCGAGCTGCCCCGACTAATGCCTTTCTCTCGTCTCTCTCCCCCTCCCCGCCCCGCTCGCCTGCTTTTCTGTCTTTCCGTTCTCTCTCCCCAGCAGGGCACGGGGGTGTCAACCAGCTCGGGGGGGTGTTTGTGAACGGCAGGCCCCTACCGGACGTGGTGCGGCAGAGGATCGTGGAGCTGGCTCACCAGGGCGTGCGCCCCTGCGACATCTCCCGGGAGCTGCGGGTCAGCCACGGCTGCGTCAGCAAGATCCTGGGCAGGTAGGAGCGAGCGGGCGGGCGGGCG